GGATGGATGGATGATGGATGGATGGATGGATGGATGGATGGATGGATGATGGATGATGGATGGATGGATGATGGATGGATGATGGATGATGGATGGATGGATGATGGATGGATGATGGATGGATGGATGGATGATGATGGATGGATGGATGGATGATGGATGGATGGATGGATGGATGATGGATGGATGGATGGATGGATGGATGATGGATGGATGATGGATGGATGGATGGATGGATGATGGATGGATGGATGGATGATGGATGGATGGATGATGGATGGATGATGGATGGATGGATGATGGATGGATGATGGATGGATGGATGATGGATGGATGGATGGATGGATGGATGGATGATGGATGGATGGATGGATGATGGATGGATGGATGGATGGATGGATGGATGGATGGATGGATGGATGGATGGATGATGGATGATGGATGATGGATGGATGGATGGATGGATGGATGATGATGATGGATGATGGATGGATGATGGATGGGTGGATGGATGGATGATGGATGGATGATGGATGGATGATGGATGGATGGATGATGGATGGATGATGGATGGATGGATGGATGGATGGATGGATGGATGGATGGATGGATGGATGATGGATGGATGGATGGATGATGGATGGATGGATGATGGATGGATGACAGATGGATGATGGATGGATGATGGATGGATGGATGATGGATGGATGATGGTTGAAGGATGGATGGATGGATGGATGATGGATGGATGATGGTTGAAGGATGGATGGATGATGGATGGATGGATGGATGATGGATGATGGATGATGGATGATGAATGGATGATGGATGGATGGATGATGGATGGATGGATGGATGGATGGATGGATGATGGATGATGGATGATGGATGGATGGATGGATGGATGGATGGATGGATGGATGGATGGATGGATGATGGATGATGGATGGATGGATGGATGGATGATGGATGGATGATGGATGGATGGATGGATAGATGGATGGATGATGGATGGATGATGGATGGATGGATGATGGATGGATGGATGGATGGATGGATGGATGGATGGATGGATGATGGATGGATGGATGGATGGATGGATGGATGGATGGATGGATGGTGGATGGATGGATGGATGGATGGATGGATGGATGGATGGATGGATGGATGGATGGATGGATGGATGGATGGATGGATGGATGGATGGATGGATGGATGATGGATGGATGATGGATGGATGGATGGATGGATGGATGGATGATGGATGGATGGATGGATGATGGATGGATGGATGGATGGATGGATGGATGGATGGATGGATGGATGGATGGATGGATGGATGGATGGATGGATGGATGGATGGATGGATGGATGGATGGATGGATGGATGGATGGATGGATGATGGATGGATGGATGATGGATGGATGATTGATGGATGAAGGGGGGATGAAGGACTGGAAGGATAGATGGACAGATGAAGGGGTGGGATAGGTGGATGGACAGAGGAATGGATGGATGGACCAGGTTTTGTGTAGGAGTTTAGTGTTTCCTCACTACCTGGTGCATGTTTTCCAGGCAGGACAGGCAGCAGCTTCCTCAGGAGCTGCCAGCACCTCCTGCAGCAGTGGGGCTGTAGGATGTGTGGAAAGCCAGGACAGAATTTTGTGTTGTAGTAGAGGCTGCGGACGTTCCCAGTTTTTTCCTGGCTGTACCATGTGCTGGTCTGTGCAGCCTCAGGGATGCAGGGGCAGAGCTGTAGGGACACCCATGGCTTTGGGCCACTGCTGAGGGACACTGGCTGGGATTGGGGCTGGATCATGGGGTGCTTGGGGAAGGGGAATGCTGCCCACAGGGTCTGATCCCATCTCTGTGGGTGATACCTGATTCTGAAGTCATAATTGTGCTTATGAATCCAGATTAATAATCTAATTTGGGTTTATAATCATGGAAGTGTCCAGTGTTTATAAACCTCTCTAATTCAGGTTTATAAACATTCTAATGCTTATAAACATTCAGCTGTAGTGCGTCCAAGTTCTGAATTCTGTGCACTGGGGGCTAGAAGGCCACCAAAAAGACAACAATGAGAGATTTCCCATTAACCCCTCCTCCACCTTTTTCTCCTCCTCCTCCTCCTTTCCCCCTCTCCCCCCACCGAGCAGACAAGGGAGTCACTTATCCCACACCACCACTTTGACTGTCAACACCAACCCCAACATCAGCATCAAGTCGGAGCCCGTGTCGCCCAACCGCGAGAGGAACACTGCCACCCCGCTCAGCACCTTCCCCCACCCGCCCCGCCACGAGCCCACGGGCCGCTCGCCCGTCGACAGCCTCAGCAGCAACACCAGCTCCTACGAGGGCAGCAGCGAGCGCGACGACCCCGCCCGCCCCGATTTTGGCTCCTCCCTGGGTCTCCTGCGAGCCAGCGGCGAGGCCGAGGGGGAGAGCCCCTCCGTAAAGCGCATGCGGTTGGATACCTGGGTCACATAACCGGCACCCCTGCGAGCTCCAGAGGGGCTGGGAAGGGCCAGGGGGAGGGTAAAAACGGGTGATGGGCGTGGGGCTGGGGTGGGGTGTGTGTAGGGAGGGGGGGGAAGTTATCATAAAACTGCCTGAGAAATAGCTTTAGGGTTTTGTAGGCATTCATTCTAGCACAGCAGCAGGGACGCATGCAGGGCATCCGGCCAGGGCTGGGGGGAATGGGGGCTGCAGGGGGGGATCTGTGTCCTCACCAAGCCCAGGGATGCTGCCCTGAGGACCAGCAGGACCCTCTGGGAGGTGGGATCCTAGCCCTAAGGCAGAGCACCTGCAGCAGGATGGGCTCTGGGGGGAGATGGGGCACAGAGCACCCCAAAATGCACCTTCCTGGCCATTCCAGGCTCCCTGTGCAGGGAGGGACAGGTCAGACACGAGGCAGCTCTCTGGAAGCTTGAAGGGCTTTGGTAGGCACAGGTTTTCCTCCAGAAGGGTTTTCCTCCAGAAGGGTTTTCCTCCAAAAGGGTTTTCCTTCAGAAGGGTTTTCCTCCAGAAGGGTTTTCCTTCAGAAGGGTTTTCCTCCAAAAGGGTTTTCCTTCAGAAGGGTTTTCCTCCAGAAGGGTTTTCCTTCAGAAGGGTTTTCCTCCAGAAGAGTTTTCCTTCAGAAAGGTTTTCCTCCAAAAGGGTTTTCCTTCAGAAGGGTTTTCCTCCAGAAGAGTTTTCCTTCAGAAGAGTTTTCCTTCAGAAGGGTTTTCCTTCAGAAAGGTTTTCCTTCAGAAGGGTTTTCCTCCAGAAGGGTTTTCCTCCAAAAGGGTTTTCCTTCAGAAGGGTTTTCCTCCAGAAAGGTTTTCCTCCAGAAGGGTTTTCCTCCAAAAAGGTTTTCCTCCAGAAGGGTTTTCCTTCAGAAGGGTTTTCCTTCAGAAGGGTTTTCCTCCAAAAGGGTTTTCCTCCAGAAGGGTTTTCCTTCAGAAGGGTTTTCCTTCAGAAGGGTTTTCCTCCAGGGTTTTCCTTCAGAAGGGTTTTCCTCCAAAAGGGTTTTCCTCCAGAAGGGTTTTCCTCCAGAAGGGTTTTCCTTCAGAAGGGTTTTCCTGCACCAGCTGGGCAGGGAGGTGGAGAGCAGCTCAGGAATGCAGCCACATCCTCAGCCTGCTTCAGGGAAGCTGCATCAGGAGGAGGAAGAGGCAGATTTTTAAGGCTTAGTCCCATTTGCATGACAGTCCCATTTCCTACCTGAGCAGGGAGCTCCACTGTTCCTCACCAGGGTCACTGGAACACTGGAGCTCCTGCTTCCCTCAGCTCCACCTGAGCACAGCAGGTGTGTGGAGAGGGGAATCTTAGTGCTGGTTTGGAGAGAAAATTGTGGGTTCTAGCAAACAAAGTCCATAAAAACATTTTGGAAATGTTGCACGTGGGCCAAAGCTTTAAATCAGGAAAATGGGAAGAAATGATTTTTTTTGCTGAAAGATGCAACTGAAGTAATGATCCTAAAATGAGATTTTGCCTGAAGGTTTCTAGGCCTCTAAAGGCAACAGTGAGCTGTGCAGAAAATCTCCTTGAGCAGTGATTTGGTGGAAGGAAGAAGGAAAAACCCAGGGATTTCCTCATGTTACCACTTGCTCTGGCAGTTTCCCAGGGATGGGTGGCAGTGCCCTGATCCCAAAATGCATCAACCTGCTCATGGCTGGGGGGTTTGGAGGAGAAGGGGTCGTTCCTGGCTGGCACAGCCATTAGGGATGGGCTTTCTCCCTGCAGGTGCTGGTGCCCCCTCCCAGCCCCATCACCCCAGGGCTGGCAGTCCCAAACTGGCACAAAACCTGCCCCATGCCACCTTTGCCAGCTGGAGCTTGGCCAGCCTTGGGGGGCTGTGGAGGAGCTGGGGGTTCCTGGGCTTCAGCTGGGCCCTGAGGCAGAGCAAAGGGAGAGGAGCTGAGTCAGGGTGGGGTTTATTCCCCCCTCCTGGATCCCTCTGCCAGCTGTCAGCAGCCAGCTCAGCCTTGGAATGGGGCAGATGGCATAAAAACCTCCTAGGATGAGGGCAAAACCAAATTGACGGGGTTTTACAAACTTTTTCCCAGCCAAAAAGTTTCTAAATTGGAAAAAACAAGGAAAAAAAAAGCAAAAAAAAAAGCTGATGATTATTGTGGAGTGAATAGGGCAGCCTAAAGGGAACAAACTTTTTCCCAGCCAAAAAGTTTCTAAATTGGAAAAAACAAGGAAAAAAAAAGCAAAAAAAAAAGCTGATGATTATTGTGGAGTGAATAGGGCAGCCTAAAGGGAGTGGTTGGAGGAGAGGAAATCCTTCAGAAGCTGGGTGAAGATGAGGAGCTGGTTTTGTGGGACAGGGTTGGGTGGTGGGGGCTCAGCAGTGCCGGCGTTCTGGGTACCCTCAGCACCATCCCTGCTCGTGGATCAAGGCATGGAGAGAGAGAGAGAGAGAGATCAAGGCAAGGTGCCAGACAAAACCCTCCCCTGCACACCTCGGAAAGACCAAACTTCTGCCACAAGTGACAGCTTTGTTCTTCTCCAGCCATCAATCTGCAATTCTCTCTCTCCTGTTCCGTGCTCTGGGTGGAGCAAGGACCCCTGGCAGGTTTTGTGCAGCTGAACCCCCCCGTGCCCCCTCCCCAGCCACACCCAGCGGGTGCCAGGGACACGCTCGGCTCTCACCTCTGCAATGCCAGCACCAGGAGCAGATCTTCCTCCCTCCCTCATCCCTGCCAAGCCCTTGGGGAAGCAGGAGAGCTGCTGTGGACCGTGGTCTTCCTCGCCCGCCCCGCCGGACGTAGCTGGACGCGCACCTGAGCTCTTTGCACGGCCTTGCTTTGGAAATTAGGCGGGATAATGACGTCTCATCGCTCTCGTTTTTTCTTTTTTTTTTTGTATTTTATTTTGGTTTTTTTTTTTGTCTTCGCAAAAAATAAACTCAACCCAAGGAACCCCACGGGAGCAGCGTGGCAGGAGGGCCCAGCTGGCTCAGAGACCCCGGAGAGGAGGCAGCAGTGGAGACCCCCCCAGCACTCGACGCCGTCGGTGCGGAGCGACCCTCAGGAGGGGGGGAAAAAAAACCAAAAAAACCCCATTTTTGCTCATTGACTTCACGCCCTGACTCCCGAGTTCACCCTTCTGCCTGGAAGCTGAGAGGCTGGAACCACGAAATGCAAGAGACAAACGCTGGGTTGGGCAGATGCAGGGTCAGATCTGCCTGGCTGGATCTGCAGCTGCAGCACTCGACGCTCCCTGGGCTGTGCCACGGGCGAGGATGGCTCTGGGCTGGTGCCAGGGCAAGGATGGCTCTGGTGCCAGGGCAAGGATGGCTCTGGTGCCAGGGGAAGTTCCAGCTCTGGGCTGGTGCCATGGGCAGGTGCAGCTCTGGGTTGGTACCTCCAGCTGTGCCAGGGGCAGGTACAGCTCTGGGCTGGTGCCATGGTGCCATGGGCAGGTACAGCTCGGGGTTGGTACCTACAGCTCTGGGCTGTGCCATGGGCAAGTACAGCCCTGGTGCCATGGGCAGGTCCAGCTCTGGGCTGGTGCCAGGGGCAGGTACAGCTCTGGGTTGGTACCAGGGGCAGGTCCAGCTCTGGGCTGGTGCCAGGGTCAAGTACAGCCCTGGTGCCATGGGCAGGTCCAGCTCTGGTGCCACTGGCAGGTACAGCCCTGGGTTGGTGCCAGGGACAGGTCCAGCTCTAGGTTGGTACCTACAGCTCTGGGCTGTGCCATGGGCAGGTACAGCCCTGGGTTGGTGCCAGGGGCAGCTCCAGCTCTGGGTTGGTACCTACAGCTCTGGGTTGGTGCCATGGGCAGCTCCAGCTCTGGGTTGGTACCTACATCTCTGGGTTGGTACCTACAGCTCTGGGTTGGTACCTACAGCTCTGGGTTGGTGCCATGGGCAGCTCCAGCTCTGGGTTGGTACCTACAGCTCTGGGTTGGTACCTACAGCTCTGGGTTGGTACCTACAGCTCTGGGTTGGTGCCAGGGGCAGGTACAGCCCTGGGTTGGTACCTACAGCCCTGGGTTGGTGCCATGGGCAGCTCCAGCCCTAGGTTGGTACCTACAGCTGTGCCAGGCTCGTGGGGAGGTGCTCACGTCGCAGTGAAAGGGGTTTGGGGGCTGTTTGTTGGGGTCTTTACTTTGTTGGGGGCTTGGGGTTATTTTATTATTCTATTCTATTTTTTTTTTTTTCTTTTTTTGTCCGGGTCATTTTCCTTTATTTCCCCCCTCCCCCAGACTGTAGTATCTGGTAAACTCCTCCTAATTTTCAAAAGACAACAAGAAGAATGACAATCTAAGAAACCAACACCCTCCTTTGTGCTTCTATAAATATGTTTCTGATCTAATTTTATTTCTCGTGCTCATCTGTACTGTTGACAGTTACAATTGTGTATAATTTTTTTTTTTTTAATTTGGAATTTTTGCGTTGTATAGGGTTTAGTTTTAAAATATATATATATATTTTCCATTTTTTTAAAAGGGGTGTTGCAAAAAAAAAATTGCACGATTTAAATGACAATAGTTAAAATGCTGCAGTTTTTAGAGATGTGGAAGCAAAATGGAGCTTATTTATTCTCAAAGGCTATAAAGGTGTAAAATGCATGAAGAAAAAAAAAAAAGCATTTACAAAAAAAAAAAAAAAGACAAAAAAAGTGTAACCTGAACAAAGTGTAGCGTTAAAGATTTTAAAGGATGACAACAACAAGAAAAAAAAGAAAAAAAAACCAACAAAAAAACAGCTAATATATTGTGTTTGGGCTAGTTTGCTTTTGTTTTTAATTGTTCCTTTTTTGGAGAATGAAATACATTTGTGTATATTTTCATATAAGAAGTATGCACTGAGATGTTTCCAAACTGATATATTCCTTTCTAAACGTGTGGTTACTTAACCAAAGTCTGTTTCTGATCTTTACCTTCTGAACTCTCTCTCTGTGGATGCTCCAGCCCTCACCTGAGCCCAGGTAAGGCGGGGTGGGGGCAGCGGCACGGCCCCGTGCCCAGGGGGTGCCAGGGGTGCCAGGGGCTGAGCCAGGGGG